CACCATTGCTTAGGACTCTGGTGGGGACAGCTGACAGCAACACATGGTATTCAGATCCCCTGGAGGAGTAGCACACTCCCAACACATGGTATTCAGATCCCCTGGAGGAGCAACCAGAGCAGAGAGAATGGAGAGGCTCCCACAGTCCCTTTCAAGAGTATACCCCAGTGGCCTCAAGACCTCCCACAAGGCTCCACCTCTGCCTCTCACTATGCCCACTCTGTGATCAAGCAGTGACATGTGGACCCTAGGGAACATAATTAAATGAAACCCCAACCAAACTACAACTGGTCTTCCATTTGACTTCTTTCTAACAGAGAAAATGAGTTCAAAGTTTCTTGCTCAGGCCAGTGAAATCACTCAGCAGGTAAAAGCACTTCCTGCCAAGCCTAATGACCTGTTTGGTTTTATGCAATGATGGGAATTGAACCCAGGGCTTCATTCACGCTAGGCAAGCACCCTACCAACTGGACTACATCTCCCGTCCTAAAATTTATTTTTATTTTATGAATGTTTTTTCCCATGTATATAAGTGTACCCCCCATACATACACATACATATACACTGCCCACGGAAGGCAGAAGAGGTCCTCAGATCCCCTGGAACTGGAGATATGGATGATTCTTAGTTAGGTGCCATGTAGGTCTGGGAACCAAACCTGGGACCTCTGAAAGAACAGCAAGTTCTCTTAACTACTGTGTCATCATTCCAGTCTTTATGGACTGTCTGAATCCAGGGACCCACATGGTGGAAACAGAAACTGATTCCTGAAAGTTGTCCTCCACACACATACTCCCCCCACCCCCATAAATAAATAAACATAAAAATTTCTTGTTGTCGAAATGGAAGGCAGCATCCTAGGTTTATCTTTTCTGTAGTGCCATGAACTGAACCCATGACTTCACACAGGCTTGCGGCTGCTCTACTGTGAGGCCTCATCCAGCAGAGATTACTCTGCAGAATATTTTTTGCCTAGATAACTCAAGCACATTTATCCCCTTCTCCTGGTGGCTCAAGTTGGTATTACGCCTCATCTCAGAGCCAGTTTCTGGCAGATTAGGCTGGTCACAAGTGACTGACACTAATGGGTGTGCCTGGTGTGGACAATGGGTTTAATATATTGAATAGGAAGAGGTCGATCATATGTGTTCTCCCAGCTCAAAGGCCCTTCAAGATTCTTGGGGTTTGAGGGGGTTTATAGACCAGGTGTCCTACATTCCCTCAAGTGCCAGATCTGGAGGCCTCTCCTGCCCTGTGGTCACCCTGAGGTGGACACATGCTGCCAAGCAGGTAGGCTGGTGATCCATGGCCCAGTGGATGAGCCTGTCAATTGGATTCCTCTTCTGAAAAAACTCAAATACAGAGTGGATTAACAGTAGGGAATGGGGCTAATAGGGCTGTTTCCACAGTTGGGGTGGTTAAGAGGGGCTGGGGCAACAAACATGCCCGAAGAATTAAGCGATATTTTAGAAACAGAGAAAACCTTTGGGTAGGAAAAGACCAGAGCAAGTGTGTGCGCGCACGCGCACGCGCACACACACACACACACACACACAGAGTTGTATAACTGCTTCCTTCATATTGAAAACATTCCCTCCAGAAAGGGAAGGTAGACGCTCATAAGAAATTTCCAAGACTCATGGGGCCCCTCCTCAAGATTATATAAGCGCTTACTAATTGCTGGGGAGAGAGGACTCTGGTGTAGTAACCACCTGCAAGTGGTGCAGGGAACTCCAGTGATGCAATCTACTTGAGTCCTTAGCTGGGGACATGTCCCTGAGGCAGCTGTTTGAGTCACCCAGGTTCCAAGCCACTTACTGTTTCCCTAAGCCAGACTTGAATGGGATCGTTTCTTCTGCCTGTTACTGACCTCCCCCCAACTGGTCGCGAATTGGGTTTCTATGCTTCTCCCTCTGAAAACTACACACAAACACATACACATGCCCAGGCGCCCCCTCCACCCCGCATGCAATACCAGAGATAACCAGTCTCTCCTTCCAACTCCCTAGGCTGGCTTTACTTTGGACATTCTTTTACCCCCTTTTCTAAGCGAACTTGAGACTCTCCTTATAGCCCCCAAACCTAAGAAAGCACTCTCTAAAATGCAGAGCAGCATGTGCAAGCCCCTCTGCACGCCCCTGGCCAGTCCCAGCGTCCTGTTCTTGTCCAGTGGGATTGGAACCCATTAGCACTTTTCCCCTCTGGTGGTGGGTGGTGTGCCAACAGAGGGGGAAGGGAAAGGACAAAATCAATTTCCTCAGTCATCAGTACTGACAGGTTTGCTGTGCTCTGAACACACACAGAGGTGGCTGTGAGCACTAAATCCATGTCAGGGCTCCCCAGGAGATCTGCTGTGCAGGCACTCCTGGTAATGACTGCTTCCAGTTGTTCCCCAGCAGGGCATGCTGGGAGACACACTCAGGGTGACAAAAAGGAATGCATACATCCATCTCTGGCACCAAGCCCTGTTTCCTTTACTTCTGGAAATGGTCCAGGGTGTCAAGAGTGCTGCTCACATGGAATGCCACAACTCAAAAAGAAAAAAGAGAAAGGTGTGTGTGGCAGAAAGTAAGTGGAGTGAGGAGAAAAGGCCCTGCCTGGTTTCCTTACTGAAAGCAGATGCATTTTATGTAGATAAGGACTACCCAAGAACACAGGATGGAAACTGGGTTGGTCTTGGTTCCTGGCTACAAAGTTAACAGCTGGAAGAGCTGAGGCTACTTATTTGCCTAATTTGAACCTCCCTCCACAGACTACTAGAATATACTAGGACTGTATGCTGTTAGTATAGTATATTTCCATTTTCCTAAGAGATTCCCTAATGTATTTGTGGATCCTTGTAAGAACACTTCAATGAATTCATCCAGCACTTCCTTATACTACCATGTAACCAACAGGGAGACCAGGACTGCAGTCAGGAGGAAGCAAGACACAGCACATTTGCCAGCCACTGTAAGTCTCTTCAAATTGAGAGGTTCACAGCCAGTAGGTACAGAATGGTGCAAACGACAGGGCTCTGTCCTCCCAGTGAGGCTAGCTGGGTGACTACTTAAACTATTCTAGTGAGGAGTCACCTGGGCTGTGCTCCAAATTGCTCCTCTGGGTACCAAGACTCTAAGTGGTCCATGCTAGTAAATGCGGCAGGAAGATGCTTTGCTATGGAGGATAGCAGCTGATGTTACTGGAATACTGCCCTCCTCTCCCAGGTGCAGCAGAGTCTGACCAGAGTCTCCAAAATAGCAAAGCTCATGAGATACTTTCACATGGGACAAAAAGCTCATCCCTTCTCTAGCACTGAAAACCAAACCAACCTAAGGCATCAGGTCTTGGTGCAGGTCACAGAACACTTTGGGAACCTCTCCTTTCAAATTCCAGGAGCACAGGCCCCAGTGCTGCTTAATCACAGGAGTCGTGGATGGTTTGCAGATAGGAGCCTTTTGTCTCGCTTCCCCAACAGGCCCCCACCCCTTCCTTCAGTGGCAGCTTCCAGGTCTCTATCCTTTCTTTTCAGGTAACTTTCTCATAGTATCTCCTCCCCTTCCCCCTTCTACTTCCCTCTTTTTTCCCTTCTTTGAATGTCTCACTTCTCCCCGAAGTCAATGGGGGGGGGTCTTTCTTTCCCAAAGCCTCCACCCAAACCTCTAGGCAGGCACAACTGAAATCCACCCCTTTCTCCCCACACAGCTGTTTTGGACTCTGTGTCTAGGACCTGAAGATGCTAAAGACAGTTGGTTCTGCATGCTGGCATCCACTTCCTCAGCACAACAACGCTAGCACACAGCACAGGGACCAGGCCCCTTCACACGCAGACAACAAGGCGCAAAGCTGGGAAAGCCCAGGACATTCCTAATGAGCCCACAAGCACACAGGCAAGGGGTGGCACCGCAAGATTCGTCTCTGCCCTACAGCTTCCTTCAGACGAGGGAACAGCTCGGGAACGCTATCCTCCACTGCAAAAGCTCTTCCACAGAAGCAACCGGAGCTGAAAAAAGAAAAGGCCCCTGAGCAACCTTTGCCTTTTACTTCCTAACCTTCCACGGAAAACTTGCAGATAGTCCCAGTCGGGGGTAAGAACTGAAAACCCAGATTTTAGAAATGCCTTTTAAATCTAGCATTTAGCCTCAACGACCCAGACTCAGTAAATTTCACCGCCCTTGCTTTCCTATAAAAACCCAGAGGGCCAGAAAACCTCAAAGCCAATTCCCAAACCAAAGTTCAGTTCCTAGGCTGCCTTGGGGACCGCCCCTGCTCCGGGTCCCACAGCCAGCTTTAGCCCAGCTCGGGACCACGCTGCTGGCTTTGCATTGCCTGGGGAAAACCCGCGGTAGCAAGGGAGAAGGGCCAGGGTGTGGATGCTCCGGTGCCCAGCGACTTCGAGTCCCAGCTTCACCTACCCGAGCTCTGGCCACACAGGGCCCCTACCCAGCCGAGCCCCTCCCTCACCCTCTCTAAATCCCACCTCGAGTCCCGAGCCCTTAGAGGAAGCTGGTGGCTCTGCCCCATCGCCGGCAGGGGGATTGGCCCCTCTCGCCACCGTGTGAACGACTGGGGCTCTTCGGTGCACCTCCAGCCGCGTCCTCCGGGTGCGCGCCCATCGCCCGGTCCCCAGGGCTGACCCCACGAGCTCTGGGCCACTCGGGAGCGCTTTCCTAGCCTCGCCAGCTGTCCCCGCAGAGCCCCTCTCTCGGGCCGGCGATCCGTTCCCTGCGCCGCCGCCTCCAGCATCTCCCCAGCCGGGCCTCCGCCCAGCCCGCTACGGTCCACGTGGCTGGGCAGAGCTATAACGGGCTCCCAGAAAGCAGGGAGCTAGGGGAAAGCCCAGCGGAGGCCGGAGGGAGGGGCGGAGGGGCGCCGAGGGGCGGGCGCTGGGCGGAGGAAGGGAAGGGCCGCGAGCAGAGTAGGCGGCCGCCGGGCTGGGTGCGCCTCGGCCTCGGCACGGCAGGCTGGCGAAGGCGGCTCCTCCCCGGACGCCCCGCCTCCCACTCCCGTTACACCCGGGGGAAGGTGTTACTGAGGCCGCTCCCATCCTCACCCCGCCTCCCGCTTCCCGGCGCTACCCTCCGCCGGCGGAGCCCACTATGCCAGACACTTTCGACACTTTGCAAAGACAAAGAGCCCTCGACCGGAGGAAGGAGAGAGAGGAGGAAGGAGAGGAGGACGCAGAGGAGGACCGGGAGATGTGAGCTGGCCTGGGTGAGTATCCGGGACACCCCTCCTTAGATGCCCCTCCGAATCCCCCTTCATGCCCCTAGCCGAGCAACTCCGGCATGTCTCCGGCGCTGGTGAGTGCGCACCGTGCCCTTCGCTGCTGGAGTGCGCGAGGGACTGCGCCCGCGCGACTTGGGGCTCGGGAGATTTCGAGTGGGTTCTCTGAGTACTGAGGTGATCGTCCTGACCTGGGATCAGAGGAGGTGGGGAAGGGGCCAGGAGGGTGTGACCGTGGATGTGTTCCGAAGACCCCAGGCACCGAGAAGGAGACACGTTGAGAGAGTCCTCTTCCCACGGCGACCCCCACGGTCATGGGGAGAGGATCTGGGAGGAGACTTGGACTCGGGGGCTCTCGACTCTTTGGCGCGCACCGGAGTAGCCGCCCGGAACTCTGCGGGGAGCCTAAGGCTATCGCGGACACCAGTCCCCGGAGCGGCCGCGGTGACATTGCGCCCGGCACCATGGTGGATCTCCCTAGCCCGGGCAGCGGGTAGGAGACTCCATGGAGCGCGGATCTCCAGCATTCTCCAGAGGAGCCGAGGCTGGGACACCGTGGGGACGCTTGGAGGCCGCTGGTGATCTAGACCAGAGGTGGTGGGACATTCTCCGGATGGAGTCTCCCAATCCTCTGTGAGCAAGCGCAGACCTGGGAGGAGGCTATTGGCCCCCTGGACGCCTCCAAGCCCACGTTGCTCTAGATCCTGGGGAGAAGTTGGTGCTCGGAACCGGACAACTGGATGAGGTGTGTTGGAAAGTGGGCAGATAAACCTGGGCAAAAGGTGCACCATGGTGGCAACTCGAAACTTGGAGTCTGCCCCAAGCAGTCTTGAGGCAGCTGCCAAGAAATAATATTACAAAAGTTAGCAACTTGTCTGCATCCCTGGCGGCTGTGACCCGCGCAGGGCACGGTCCACCCCTCTGAGGACGCACCGGGGCTGGAGCAGAGACCCTGGGGCTAGGCGACTTGGTGGGAGTGCAGTCACTTGGGGATCTGGACCATGGCGCAAGCAACTTTCAGCTTAGGTTTCCTCTCCGCGAGAGTGCTTGAGCGTGACCTTGCGGGAGGCCGCGCCGCTGAACTTGAGATGGGGGCTGTGGCTGCCGGTGCCCTCGCGTGGTACAGACACGCAAGGGCGGGGGTGCTTTGCCTCACCTGCTCTCCAGGAAAGGGTGTCAGGATCCTCGGGGTCTCGGGGTGGTTTGTTGGCTTGAAGCAGCAGTCTCTCCTGCCTCTTGCACGAGGGTCCCAGCTGGCTCCTACCACGTGCAGGAATTGGCCAGGGGACACGTGCGCACCCAGAAGCCCGCGAGTGGGTGAGGGCTGGGCAGGTTACGGGGTCTGGTGGGGGGCGAATGAGTCCCGAAAAGGGAGGTAACCGTTAGGGCAGGGACAAGCTCCCCATGTCACTGCATCTGGCATTCGTCGGGCTTTAACTGTGTCTCCTTGGAACCCCAGCCTCTCGCCGCTCATCACCCTCGCTGGCCCCTACGCCCCACGGATTTGTGGCGAGATGGTTCCCTAGGGAGACAGTGGAGCATCCACTCCCTTTCTGCGGCTGTATGTGCGGTGGTGGTGTCGGGATTGGTCTCCAGCAAGAAAACTGCCAGAACAGGCATTGAGGCTGTACAGTCGCCACCAAGGCGCCTGGCGCGTAGTAGGTGCTCATGCTGTGTTTACCGAAAAGTCCTCTAGGATGGAAGGTTCTGGCAGGGGTCCGGACTCCCCTTCACCTCTTTGCATTACTACTATTACTGAATTAAAATTCACCCACTCATCCAAGCTCTTCCGGCTCCCAGAAGCGCTCTGAGCACCTACTATGCACCGTGCTCTGCTGGGGGCGCTTTTCTGGACACTGCGGGCGGTGGCCCTAGTTTTCTTTCCCAGTTGCTCCAGAAAAGTCAAGGTGCACTGCCCCCTGGCGGCCGTAGCGGAAACTTCAGGCCTGGCATCCTGGGCCTTCCTGCCCCAACCAGGAAGACTGAGCCATTTTGTGAACCTTCGTGATTGACTGGAAAAAAGAAAAAAACTGACCAGAATTCACCTCTTGCACACGCCGACGTTGGGTGTAGGTGGAGACTTCCGTCCCCGGCCTGTTTCTCACTTTGAACATGCAACTCAGTCTCTCAAGCCTCAGTTTCTCTATCTGTAAAATGTAGCCTTTGATACAGCCTCCAAAATAGGTCTTGCAGAATAGATGCTGCACATACTATGTGTGTAGACCTGTACTGTGCATACATATGTTCACACTATGCATGTGTGTGCGTATATATATGTAAGTGCCTTGACTTCGTGGTCTGGAATGAAAGAGTGAACAGAACTTCCTTCCCTGCCTTTCCGACATTCCTCTTCCTCCATTTTTCTGTGGAGGACTTACTGCCCCAGCAAGGCCAGGGCCTGGGCTGAGCAGGGGCTTCCCCTGCCTGGCCGGCTTCAGACCACTGCACCCCTCCCAGCTCTGGGGCTAGAGAAACAGGAAGTGCCTCTGACATGACCACAGAGGTTTCTTAGGGGGTGTGAGCTCAGCTCTTCACAGCTCTGCATCAGCAAGGGGAAACTGACTTCTTCTGAGCTAGTTGTAGATAGGGCTGGGTCTCACCCTCAGGCTCCGGCTGCCACATATCCTGGGGCCTAACCAGCACACTACCTGGCCAGCACGTGCAGTTAAGTTGGGACCTCCACACTGTTGGCTGTCACCCAATGTCAGGAGTCCTTGGTCCCCCAAGCTTGAGGACAGGATCCATGGGTGGGCCTGGAAGACAATGATGCCTTGGGGGGGGGGGGTCCTGGATTCTCAGTTTGATTTTGTGACAGGTGAATCTTTATCTCCTTTCCCATCAAGCACCCCTCATGTTAGGGCTCTACTCCTACACCCCCCTCCGGTCAGCATACCTGATTGGGGTTGCTGACTCCGGGTGTTTGTATTCGGACAGGGCATTGCTCTACGAAAGCCAAACCTTAGCTTTCACCCCAACCCCTCCCATCCTCCAAAAAGCAAACACAGCAGAAAAATAAAGTCCACTCATCAGCTTGTCCCTTATACACAGATATGTCCCAGGATCCCAGTGGCTTCCTAAGACCTTGGGTAATACAGAGCATTATACACACAAGTACCTTTTCCCTATGATAAAGTTGAATTTTTAAATTAGGCACAGTAAGAGGTTAGCAATAACTAGTAATGAAATAGAACAATTATACATTATTTGGTAGTAAAGTTGCTTGAAACTTATCAGTTTAAAATTTCTGAAACTTTCCATTTACTGTTTTTGGCATTAGCTGATGGAGAGACACTGAGACAGGGAAGTGAAAGCCACAAGGGGACTCCTACAGTCCTTCACAACAACTACTTACTCTGTGCATGTCTGCATAGTCCCCAGGCCCATGGAGAGCGGGCCTGGCCAAGAAGAATTCTAGAATCAGGTTTTCATGCCACTTCCTTCAATGGTGTGGCTCTTGTGGAAATTGCACATTCCCTCCTGCTGGTCTGAGAACCTGAGAAACTCTTCTGTTCTAATTTGGTCAGAGGAACCCAGACGTGACCCCACCCCCACCCCCAGCCTGCCCTCGGGTCTCAGTGCCAAGGCTCAATTACTTTGCAACTTGGCACCCAAGCTACTCTGGGCCCTGGTCTCTGTTTCACTCTCTGCTAAACAAGAAGCTGTGGAGCTCTGCTGAAGGTCCTGGGTCCAGCAAAGCCGTTCTTTGTGAAGAGAGTCCCTACCTCCTTTACGTTAGCTCAGATTCCTCCTCCAAACTAGCCTGGCACCCTGGCTTGCCTGGGAGACTGGACCATTCTTTAGCAGGCATCACAGGCACCTCCTCTCTCACATTCAGGGTGGCTTCTTTCCTTTCTGAACCCTCCCTCACTTGGTCATTTCCCAGCAGCTCTCAACACTGAGCTTTGGGAGATAAGGTCTGAAATCTGACAGCACATTCATAGCGATATCTGAAAGGCTCTCAAGTGATATGTATTGAAGTAGAAACCAGGGTGGCCTCCCTGTCCTTAGAAATTATTTTGTTCAACCCTTTCACTTTAATGCAAAACTATAAGTTCGATAGGAACATCAACAGAGATGTTAGCGACAGAGATGATAGATTAACCCTCTCCTCCAAACTCTCCGTTCATCCAAGTCTTGGTATTCTTTTTTTTAAAAAAAGTTTATTATTTTTATTTTATGTGTATGAGTGCATTGCCTGCATGTATGTAAGTACGCTCATACCATGTCATGCAATGCTGGAGGAGGTCAGAAGAGGGCAATCCCCTGGAACTGCTGTTAGCCACCATGTGGGTGCTAGGAACAGAACCCAGGTCCTCTGGCAAGAGTAGCCATTATGCTTAATCTCTTGAGTCATCTCTTCAGCCCCAAAGTCTTGGAAACCAACACATCACACATGGTTGGAACGTCTGGAATTTTACTGTGCCTTTGTGTTGGGGGCAGGGGGCTGGATTATTTTGATTCCATATGAGCTGGTGTTTATGGGGACTTTCTTTTGTTGCATTCATCTTGCAAGGTGCTAGAGATATGGAATGGAAAAACACATGGTCTTTGTCTCCTGTTCCAGAGCCCTCAGTATTCTGGGGAGGTACGTGGCTGATAAAGAGACACACCTATGTGGTCTTCCACAACAGAAGCCACTTGTGTTGAGAGAGCACCCGGAGTTCCTCTGCCTTGAGGGGCCCACAGAAGGAGTCTTGGGGAACACAGAGCCTCAGTTACTGCTAGATATCAGTCTGCAGCAGAGAGGATATATTTTCTTGAATGATACTGTGCAGATATCAAGGTGTCTTGCACCCTGTGTCTGCAAGAAAAATAAGAGGTAGTGGTTACAGACTGCCTACAGCTTCTGCCCAAAGAACAGAACACGGAAGGCAGGAGCTGGATGCTTTGGAAGATTCCTCCACTGTGTGCTTTTGTCTGGCAGGCTTATATGTTAAAGATCTTTACAGGCCACAGGCCCCCCACTGCAAACTTCTGAGAGTTATGGGCCTCAGTATGGTATGTGTGAAGCAGAGAGGCTGCACTGGGCTTGTTTTGAAAATACAGTCGAATGTTTTACCTTGAGCATGTGACTTACATACACCTGCGTACCCATCTCCCATTTAGATTTGATCAGCTGATTTGGGGAAGGTGGAATTACAGGACATGGCAGGCAGCAGAGGGAGAAAGTACTGGCTTTCAGGGGGACATGGCCACAGGCTAACAGTATGAGCAAGTCAGGCCTTGCACCTCCGTGCCCCATGGTGGCAGGGTGCATCTGCCTGTCCACTGGGTTGTGGGGATCCAAGTGGATGAAAAGGTATGTTCGCTCATGGGAGCCTCAGAGTCTCCTAGTTTCCACTGAAGTAAGTCTTTATTAGAGAAAGTGACACAGCACAAGCTTGTGTGAAATGATGGAGCAGAGTCCGAAAGTTCTGGAAAGTCCAAAACTTCATCGAAAGCTCTAGAAATGGGCAGTTGATTTGAAGGTGAAATGGCTTATTAATGACCCCCCAGAAGGAGCAAGTTTGCACGCTGTCATTGGGTAGCATGCATTTCTCCTTCCCTTGTGTAAAACCTTTAAAGGCCCATCTTCCGTATGGAAAAGCATTGGTGCAGAATCACTAAGTAGTCAGAACAGGGGCCTGAGAAGTGTCCCCAAATCACTGCTACTGTGAGCAAGAATCAGGGGAGGACTTGGGGAAGGGTGTTCATTCCCAAAAGCCCGAGCCACCCTATAGCCTGGCTGGCTGCACACCAATGACT